GGAATTAGAAGGTCGGATTGGAGCAATAGAAACGTAAAGAGAGAGAGAAAGGAAAAAAAAAAAAAAAGCAAGAGGAAGAAGATAAAAGGAAGAAGATAATGAATTTTTGTAAATTTTTGTTAGAATTTTTACAAATTTGATGATTCTCTTTCCATTGTTTCAATTGATGATTGCTTTGTCTTTGCTCTTGCTCTTGCACAATCTTCTTCCTCAGATATCCTGCTGTCCAGCGACCCATGAAAAATGGGAAAGCATCATGGCAGCAGTGGACCATTTGAGAACATAGGGGAATGATCAGATGTCCGTGAATCGATTGGAACTACCGAGATCGAAAAGGAGAAAGAGAAAGAAAGGGCTGGGTGCGTTTGGGCGTTAACGACAAAGTAACGGAGATGGGTGTGTGTAATGGAGGGTGTAACGGAGGAGGGTAAACGTAGCTTTATCCATATATATATTATGCATCTTTCAACAACGAACTTTCTATGATTTGTTTTTATTTATTTTTTTCTATCTAATGCATTTCGTAAGGTAAATAATAACATATTCTAAGAAAACCTCATGAATAACACAAAACTAACTTTTCCTAAAACTAGAAATTCTGCAAGTGATTACTTTGGATCATAGGAAACAAACTAATGTGGGGGGAAACAAGTAGAATCATGTTTGCGGCAAGGAAACAACCAATAAACATTTTCTTTCTCAAGATCAATTGCAGACAAACTATGAAGGAAACAATTTAAAAGGGAAACCAAGCCATTACCGATAACAAAGAAAGGAATAAATAGGATATGTCATTTTGCTCAACTAGGAGAAGTTCCTCCACATTCTTCTACTTTTTTACCTTACTTTATTTCTAAATATTCTTGGGCAAAGAAGAGTGTTTTAAGTTAGGTAACTCTATGAGTAGTGCAGATTCATAGAGTGTTATTAGAATGCTGTAGCATATTGGGAATGACATGCTATATATATATATATATCTCTGTTACACTGGTAGATCTATTATTCGTAGAGGTTTGAATTGCTTTAAACCTAAAGTAAGTAAGCTTTTTACACCTATTTCGATGATATTTCTTTATCAATATTTGTTGATAAGGTCACTAATTATTATGTTTATTTTATTTTTTGATTGAGGCACAACAATGACATGATGTAAACATGAAAAAGAATGTTCGAGGAGCAACACTATATCAACAAAAAGGGTTATGCTAGGCTTTGCATTAGGGAGAGGGATGAGGGAAGCAATTATTACCAACAACAAGAGGAAGGGAGGGGTGATACAGGGAGGCCGTCATTGAAGAGGATATGGCTACTTAGAGAGGTGAAGTGCTTGAAGTGGTGGAGGTAGGGAGGGATAAAGGAGTGGCAAGGCTTCATACGGAAGTCAAAGTGGTGGCTGAAAATGTCTAGAGAGGCAAATTAGCTTCCAAGCAACGTTGTAATTTTTCCATTAAGGCTAAGGTTGAATAGAGGAGTTAGCTGCTAGGGCATTTGTGATAAAGGGTATTGTTGGGATAGTAATCTAACTAGCCCATAAACGTAATAAAGGCTTATGAGGCCTAAATGCAAAGGAGCATATACATGGGTCACTATGGAGCTTATATATACTCAAATGGATCCAAAGGGACTAATAGAAGTGCAACACGTGTAAAGCACTTTTAAGGAGTCTATAAATACCCCACACCTCTCAAAGGTAAGGGACTTTTCTTGGAGCTCTTCTTTCTCTAAAGAGAGCCCCAAGCATAGAATAGAGTGTCTACCTCAGGGGGACAACCCTTGGGTTTGTTTTGTAGGTCCCCACATTGGTCAAGTTGTGGTCAACAAGGGCTTGTGAAGCTGCCCAAACAGGTATAGCACTTAAGGAGTGGTAGATTAGCTAGGAAGAGGGTTGGCTATTCACCTTATTGATTAAGACTTAGTAGAATGAGGGAAGGTTGGCTTATATTTAAATGTTGGAATTCCAAAAATTCACGGCTTGAACGTTATGACAACTATTGCTGTAGAAAAAACCCAATTTCAAAAATTCATAGTTTCACTAATTAGTACTACAACCTCAAGTTCTTCTAAAAACCACAAATTATCGAGGATAAGATCAAATGTGCCTAATCAATCACAAGTTACTTATCTAGAATTTCACTTGACTAGAGTTCAATCTTTTGAACAACTAAGTACTTAACTCATAGGCTTGTTTGAAGGTTGATTAATTTAAAAAAAAAAGATTATATATAAATACTCATGAACCATAGTGGAATTTATTTTACAAACAAGCTAATTAAACATGAGCTGATTTTTTTAAACTCAATGAAAGTTTAAGTTCAATTAGCATGAATTGAATCCAAACACCAGTGTTCCAACTCATTTACCACCTAAAAAGTCAATGGCTAACCGTAATATCAATGTTTTATTAGGCCAGATTTGAATGAGCCCTAAGAAAATGCTAAGGGGCATTAACTTAGGATCCTTTCACTTTAGAAGGAAAAAAAAATCTCCTAACTTACTATATTTCTATAAGTCTTAAAGAAACAAACAATAATTGGAGGATAATATATAGACTCTCAATCATCCTCCCTAAAATGAAAATATTCCAAAAGTACGTGGCCATTACTTCATTATTGTGATTGATTACTAAAAGTAGTGCATGTTGTAGACATGGCGTACGAATTTTGGCCATCATTTTTTTGTCTTTTTGGTATATACGGTTAGCTATTTGTAATTCAATTTAATTTTTTCGTGCTTTAAAATTAATTTTTTTTAAATAATCTTAAAATATGTTTCTATGGTAGTCTAGTACCTTAAAAATTAAATATTAAATTTAATCTATAAAATAATATTTATTTGTTAATAAATTCAACTCTTAAAAGTTAGTCAGCAATATTAAAGCCTTTCCAAGACTCGTGACTTGTGAACACTATTCTCGCTGTTTTTGCATTTATATTTTTCAAGTGTTGCTCGCGTTAATTATTTGTGGAAAAGAGACGAAGAGGCGGAAAGAAGAGCAAATCAAGTTGATCACGGCGCCGAAATAGGAACAAAGTCCCTCTCATTCTCCCCCATGGTCCCATAATTAATCTTTTTGTATATTTGGCTGAAATTGATCGTAGATAGAGTTATAAGATTGTGTGGTGTGTACTTCTTCATTTGGTATTTCCAATTCCCGGATACAAGTACAATTTTTTTTGTTTTTTGGGGACCTCCAGGCCAACTTAGATACATGTACATTAATGTTACATCATATATATATATATAGATGTAACATATTATTATAGATTTACTACACAAATTAATCACCAAATTAAATTTTACATGACATGATTTAAACTTTGAAACTTACCTTTATCTTATTTCGTGTTATAGATTTACTATATTAATCAATCATTAAAGCAAGTTACAACCCATATAAAATCATCATACATGATTTAAACTTTGAAAGTTATCTTTATCTTATTTCGTGTTATAGATTTACTATATTAATCAATCATTAAAGCAAGTTACAACCCATATAAACTCATCATAAAGCTCGAGAAAACTTACAGACGGCATAACTCAAACTTGGCGGCAACCCTAGGGTGAGTTTGGTTTAAACCTTTCTTAAAAGAATAATTAGAGAAAGTCAAGTATCAATTTGTAATTGGCTTGGCTTAAAATTTTAAATTTTTAGGGATGATTAAAATCGAGACAGCAATATAATTAGTTACACAAGAAGAAGATGACTAGTGTGTTAGTCCAGCTAGTCTAAGATTCAAATTTTCATGGTCCATATTTTTATTTATTTAAAATATGATTTTTTTATTTTTCAATAGTTAAAATTTTGAATTTTTATGTTAGAAATTTTTAATTTAAATTTTGAAATAGGTGAGGAGAGGTTTGGGAAGAAGAGAGTGATATCTTGTTAAACAACTCATTATTCAATATTTCAAAAAAAATTACACAAAAAAGGGTGATTATATATGATATAACCATTTATATATAAATAAGTATAACCTACCACGAGGTGTATATGGGGAAATTGCTTGAACTTATCTAGTTGAGATCATTCTTATGGATTAAAAGAAGGAAAAGCCAAGGGTGATTTTAATCTCTCCAACTAGTTATTAAATCCTGTTACATGTATAAAGATTTAATTGTGGTAGATAAAAAAGATAGTGAAGGAATGGTTTTAAATGATGGAAAATTTATTTTATGGATGGTTTTCAATGTATTATAAAATGAGTTTAAATACTTTTTATACTCAATATATATGAATAAAAGTTTGTTTTTGTTGTTAAAAAAAAAAAAAAAAAGGCATAACGTGCTACATACATCACTCTGGGAAGTAAATCTTCTCATTTTTTTCAATAGGAAAGATTTTCCAGGGTTTGTGAGTGGTGACATGGTCATGTAACCGACTTATAACTCCTTACCCTGAATTTTTTATTTTCAAATTAAGCCAATATTATGCAAGGCTCCACTTCCTTACATTCTTTTTCTGTGAAAGCTAGACCCAAACCAAACACAGCCTTAGAAATTTCAAAATTGGACAAACAACATGCTTAAACCAAAAAGGCACCTATTAATTCACGAGAAAGACGCACACACACAGTACTTCCATATCTACAGCCATATATTATAATAAAGTAGGAAACTGCCATTAGGCCACTCCCACAATCAGCTTTTATTAAAAACGTACCCGTTTCTTTCACGGTCTCTTTTCATGTCCACTGATTCCCATCAAGCTCCCAACCCCATTTAACTACCTTTCCCTAATTCCCCCTCCCATCCCTCCATCTCTCTCTCTCTCTTTTTCTTTTTTTTTTTTTGTATTTTAGATTTTGGAATTAGTTTGTTTCTTCATACTGTTGCTTTTAATTTCCTTCGATTATATATTGTATAGGAAACAACTTAGAAATTAGCTAGCAAAGCTACATACACCCAGACACAAATATCATGAACAATCTACAAGATTGGCCTGAACCAATAGTCCGAGTCCAATCCCTGTCGGAGAGTGGCCTCCACACCATTCCCGACAGGTATATCAAGCCACCACCTGACAGGCCATCGTTAACCATCTTCGACAAAGCTGTTGTAGATGCTAACATCCCCATCATCGATCTCACTGGTTTATTCGGGGAGGACGAGCTTCTTCATGCCAGAATCCAGGATGAAATTTCCAGCGCAGCTCACCAGTGGGGGTTTTTCCAAGTCTTGAACCATGGAGTTAGGCCTGAACTTATGGACCGCGCCCAGGAAGCCTGGCGGGACTTCTTCCATTTGCCTATGGAGATGAAGCAGGCATACGCAAACTCCCCGAATACCTACGAAGGGTATGGCAGCCGATTAGGAGTGCAAAAGGGTGCCATTCTTGATTGGAGCGATTACTATTTCCTTCACTATCTTCCATTGTCCCTCAAGGACTACAATAAATGGCCTGCCTCTCCAACTGATCTTAGGTCAGTTCATGTTGCAAGAAATTGAAGGAAAATCCAACATGGATCGATTAAGTAAACAGTTATCTTTGACCTTAAACAAATCGACCCTCTTCATATCTTGCCCTATTGATGTTATATAGGATGTGAATTATGCCTAATTTTCCCAAAAATTTATCCATTTCTGATCGATTGATTAAATGTAGGGAAGTGATTGATGAATATGGCAAGGAGGTAGTGAAGCTATGTGGGAGGCTAATGAAGGTTTTGTCCACGAAACTAGGAATGAGAGAGGACCATCTGCAAAATGCATTTGGTGGGAATGACATTGGGGCCTGCCTAAGGGTAAATTTTTATCCAAAGTGCCCGCAACCTGACTTGACCCTAGGTCTATCGTCGCACTCGGACCCGGGTGGCCTGACCATGCTCTTACCGGACCACCAAGTGGCCGGTCTTCAGGTTCGTAAAGACGGCAAGTGGATCACCGTGAAGCCAGCCCGCCACGCCTTTATCGTCAACATCGGTGATCAAATTCAGGTGACAATGGCTAGTACTTTCTCTCTTTTTTTTTTTAACATCTCTAGATTATACCATGAAAACGAATTATTTTGGACGGCATTAGAATTGATTTAGAATATGGCACGTGGAGGGACCACTCGGGCAAAATATCAGGACCCCGAGGGAGGAAAGGCGACCTAATTTGGGTCGACATAAATTTAAGCCTATCCCTCCACTCCATGCTAAATTAAAAAAATATATATATTTCCGGCCTTTTTTAGACATTTTAATTTGGAAGGGCCTTTTTTTTTTTTTTTTTAATTTAGTTCAACATTTTTGGTGGTACAATTCGAATCTAATTAAAGAGGAGCATGTTATGGCTACACTATAATATTATAATGACATAAATTTTAAAATATTATTTATGTTTAATTTAATTAATAACAATAATTATTAATTCATAATTATAAAATAATTAATATTAATAAATTAATAAATTAAAATAAATTATTTATAAATTAATATTTTAAAATATTATAATTACTTAATAAATAATAATAATTTAAGTTGACGTAACCTTAATAATACACGTGTGACAAAGGGTTATAAAAAACTCACCTAAGAACCCCTTAAGCACCTTACCTAGATCCTAAGTGGGAGAGTCATATGTTTCCTCATTTTTGGGAATTTTTTTATTTTATTTTGACATTTTATATTTAAAAAAAAAAAAACGTCTAAAATGCTTAACAATGCTTAAATGCCATCTAAACACCGCGTAGATATATATTAAGTAATGGCAGCACCGCTTTCTGTAGGCGTAGTTAACAGTAACGACATTCGACAAACTCGATAAACATGTGTTTTAAGACATGTGATATGGTCAAGAAGGAAGAAGCTTTAATAATTAACCATTGAACAATGGTGCACCTGTCACTAACGATGCTTTAATTTCATAATAAAACATGTCCTGTCTACTTGTCAGAAAAAGTATCTGTGCC